CTTCCTCGAAAACTCACAAAGAGCACTTTACAAGATTTCTTTGTAATGTTCTCATGATTAAAAAAAATCCTTTTTTCTATTCATTTCACAATTTCCTTTAAAAGAATTTAAAAAATCTCTTTGGGATTCATATGAAATTTTCCTTATACCATTCTAGAAATGCTATGCATAACACTCCTACAGTTCTACCTAACAATAATCATGGAATAAGATTTACTTGAAGTTTCCGTCGGAAAACCCCTCGATTGTTTATGTTTTGATATTTGGAACCAGAGGTGGGATGTGACTGTCAAATACAACAATCGTCGCCTACCGCGTATAAAGGGCGAACACGAAATTATTGCGACACCGAAAATGTCATGCCAATTTTCTTATAATGTTTAGAATCAAACCAAAATTTTAGGGTAGTTTTATACATATATTTACTTCAAAAATCAAAAGAAAAGTTAATCGATGGAGCCTTGAGTGTAAAATTGAACGCATTTTCGCTTGATGCCCTCCATCAAAGTCTTTACAGTGTCATCCGGTACCAGTTTCTCAGTTTTTTTTTCCATTTTCTTAACATGTCCTTCTCGTCTTTGACTGTCTTCTTGCTCTTCCGAAGTTCCCGCTTCATTATTGCCCAGTACTGCTCCACCGGGCGCAGCTCCGGACAGTTTGGCGGATGCATGTCCTTTGGAACAAAATGGACAGAATTGCCCTCATACCACTCCAGGACACTTTTAGAATAGTGGCATCATGCCAAATCTGGCCAAAATAGCGGAGCTTCATCGTGCTGCTGCAAGAACGGCAAAAGGCGCTTCTCGAGGCACTCAGATTTGTAGATCTCGCCATTTACTGTGCCCTTTGTCACGAAAGGCTCACTCCTCAGTCCGCAAGAGCAGATGGCCTGCCAAATGATATATGTGGAGGCGAACTTCGACATTTTCTTCTTCTTAAATTTGTCGTCCACATCGAACTTGCTCTTGCCGGTGAAAAACTCCAACCCCGGAATCTGCTTAAAATCGGCTTTTATATACGTTTCGTCGTCCATCACACAGCAGCCATATTTTGTCAGCATCTTCTCGTAGAGCTTCCGTGCCCGAGTTTTAGCCGTCGATTGTTGCCGCTCATTGCGGTTTGGGAAGTTCTGTACCTTGTATGTATGTAGTCCAGCTCTCTTCTTTGCATTCTGGACGTAGCTCTGCGACATGCCGATCTTTTTAGCCAAATCACGGCTTGAGACGTTGGGATTTGCTTTAATCATCCGCTTCACCTTTCCCTCCGTCTTTTTGTTCTCCGGTCCCGGTTTTCTTCCAGCTCCTTTGCCGTGGTCCAACGTCAACCGCTCCTGGAACCGCTTCAACACTCTGGAGACGGTTGAATGGTGAATGTTCAACATTTTTCCCAACTGCCGGTGCGACAGGTCAGGAAATTCCAGGTGTTTGGAAAGAATTTGTGCTCTCAACTCGCGTTGGTTCACCTCCATTTTCGTTGAATCGGAAAACACGACTTCGAGTTTGACAGCAATGAGAAAGTGTGCAAAATTTGGTTGATTTCTACCCAATGGTAAAAAAGTTATGCCCTGTTGAATGTGTCGCAATAATTTCGTGTTCGCCCTTTAACTAAAGCCCTACAGTAAAAGTATGTACGTCAGTCAAAATTTGTTCTGTTCTAATCGTCAAAATGAGCCGCTTTGCTCTATTGGAACTGCTTTTTTCAGTTTTGTAGAGGCAGTCGTCCATATTTTAACTAGAGGGCTTTACGTATAACTGGTTCCAAACGTAAACAAGCCATAAGAAACTGTTTGTGCATCGTCGATTATTTGTGCCACTACCTTACCCACTGTACGATTCTAGAAAACAATATACAATACAATAAAACAGTGCCTTGTATGCCTCCGCCATGGCAGGACGGCGAAGCAATCGGTGCGTTTTAATTCTATCCGTCTTCGTAATTATCACAAAAATCAACACAACGTGCGCGATCATAAACCTAAATGGCACGTTTGGAACCAATTTCATACAAGAATGATCAGTAGGCTGATTTGACAGCACTTCCCCCCGCAGATTTGGACACGTTTTGAAGCAGTTACAGTTTCCTGTAAAACTGGATTGACTTCCAGGGAAAAAAAAAGCAGTACAGAATTCATGCCACATAGGGTAGATGTACCAGTTATGGCCATACGTTCCTATTATGGTGTGCTCCAATTATGGTCTATGGAATTTCCATAGACCATAATTGGAACACACCATAATAGGAACGTATAGCCATAACTGGTACATCTAACCTATACATTTTCACTTCATAGACCACAGCACCCGGGAAATTTACTTGGGAAAATGAGAAGAATCTATACGTTGATGAAATTTGCTGGAAGAGTCGAAATCAATTTCCGGGAAAACAAGACACTTCCAGCGGAAGTCAGATGAACTTTTGAGGAAGTCGAAAGAAACTTCGTGGAGGATTCGGATGAGTTTTCCGGTCGATTTCAGATGAAATTTCTGAGCAAAATAAGTAAACAAAATTCGGGGAAGCTATAAAATCTCTGACCACGCCAGCAAAGCCGTTGTTCCCTGGTCCATGAGTTTATGGGTCGATAGGTAGGGTCCAGGTGTGGGAGCTACCTCCCTGGCATCGGTAGCATTGATACTCAGTACGAAAAACAAGATCGACGGAAAAACAAATAAAAAAATTCCACTGGAAGTATCTTGCAAGTTTCCCTTGTTGGTTTTTTCTATTGTTTTTTTTTTCTATTGGTTTTCTTTACTGAATGTCAACCTGGTTTTCACTGTAATTGGCTTTAGACTACTCAGTACTGCTTTTTACCCGGAACATCAACATGAACAAAACAAAACGGGAGACATTTCCCGGGAAACAAATATAGAAGGATTGTTGAGTGAACGCTACAATAAGTTTCTCGGAGGAGCCAGTTTGCCAGAAGTTTGTATTATTTTCCAGAGAAATTTGAAGATTTTCTACGGTAAATCGGAAGAATGTTCCAGAAGAAGCCATAAGAAAGTTCCGGGGTAGGCCAGGCAAACTTTCGAGGAAATGCGAAGCCAAAAAGACTAACTAAGAAAGTCGGCGCCGCTGTTCGGATATATCTTTTGGGCCAAAAAAAAAAATTCCTAATGGTAGTCGTAACTAAAACATACGGATGAAGTCGGAAGAAAAATCTAATGCAGCTCGGAATGGAAGCAGAGATATTAAAATTAAGTGGAAACAATATTCCATACTTCATTAATCGTTCTACAAAGTAAGAAAAATACAAAATGTCATGAATACAACATTATAGTCTCTGAACTAGAATACTTTCCGATTCCCGGGAATTCCCACGATGAACCATCAGCTGTTTCCCGTTTCCAGGGAAACCAAAAATGATTCGGTAATGGAAAAACTCACATAACATAGTCGCTCGTTAAATCATTTTGTACTACTCAAATCATAAACTCTAGATCAATTCTTGTAGGAAATTTATAATACTTTCCAAATCTGCAATAATATTTACGTGATACTTTTAACTTTTTATCGGTTACAGAACTAAATCTGTAAAAAATCTATTGTCTGTGTCAATAGAACCACAGACAAACAGACGTATCTCTTTAAATAAATCTTCATTAAAAATATCGCCACGGACCTCACTAACGACATCTCGCGAGCTATTCGTGGGAAAAAAAACTTGCTAGCCAAGTTTCATACAATGTTGCATACACGTTGGATATAATGTATAGAAACGTCAAAGTAATGAGATGCCAGTGCTATGCAGGGGGATTCTCAAAGCTAATCATATCTAAATTGAAAGTTAAATGCGTGTACGACGATTGAGAAGAAAGCTTTTGTCTGTTTGTATGTGATAGAACCTTACATTTTCCGATTGATTTTATATCTGGCAGCTCTAAATGAACTTTTGTAAAGATGCAGTTTTAAAGTCTGTTCCAGTTAGAATTGGGCCGCTTCTTTTTAATTACTGTAGTGCCTCTAGTTGTCGCAGCACGAAACTATTGACAGTGTTTTGATCCGGAAGGATTTTTTATTTAGTAGTGAAAATTTCATCAGGATTCATATACTTGTTCAAAAGTTATCGATAGACGTGAAAAAAATCTGCACACTCACGTGCAAAATCCAACGTGGTTCAGGAGGAATTATTGCAAAGGCTCTCAAATTTCCTAAATCGACTGTAAATACCGTGCTTCAACGTTACCGGGAAACACTAACGTTGGATCGTGCAAAACAAAACAAACGTAGAAGTGGAACATATGACCCACAACTACGAGCGAAGGTCATAAAGGCAGTCCAAAAGAATCTTGGGATTCCGGTCGTGATTTGGCGAAAAGGTTCAGTACAGCACACAGTACAGTTCGGCGAATCTGTATGCGAGAAGGTTTCCGGTCGTACCAGGTCAGCAAACATCCTAACAGGACGCTGAAACAAAACCTGGTTGCCAAAAACCGTGCAAGGAAGCTGTACGAGCAAGTTCTGATCAAGTATAACGGATGTATTTTGATGGACGATGAAACTTACGTAAAAATGGACTTTGGACAAATCCTGGGCCAAACATTTTACTTTGCTAAACGTAAGAAAGATGCTCCGGATAAATTCAAATTGGTCTTTGCAGATAAATTCGTTTGCCAGTTGATGATTTGGCAGAGCATGTGTAGTTGCGGAAAGAAAACAAAGGTTTTCATCACTGGAGCGACTATGAATGGACAACTTTACAAGGAGGATTGTCTCCAGAACATAATTTTGCCGTTTATTCAATCACACGAAGGTCCTGTAAAGATCTGGCCTGACTTAGCCAGCTGCCATTACAGTCGCGATGTCATAGAATGGTATAAGCAGAATATTGAGATTTTAATTCTATTCGAGGTGAGAAATGAATCAATATATAACCCGATCAATCATATTCACAAACTAATTGAAAACAAAAAATGTAATTCCTTAAGTCGTACGGGCTGCCATGTAACATGTTCACAGTTTTGAAAAATCAAAATACACAAACAAGTCAACGGGTCACTTACGGTTGGCACAACTCCTAGGATCGGGCAGGGCAAGTCGTCGTTGAGCCAGTACCACGGTGGCACCGATGGCCAGTAGCGCTAGTGTTCGCAGCACGGACATTCTGAAAATAAAAAACAAACAAATCCCCATTAATGACAGTTCCGAAATTCCTTAGACTATTGAATGCATTTTTTATGATGTTGGAAAATTCCCAAGCCGAACGTTGACGGGCACAACTAGATCGCGCCAGCAAACGAATCGGTGGTCGAGCGCCCTTTGTGTCGGTCAACTATGGCCATTAACCATAAAGCCAAACCTATTTCCTGAAACTGTTCATCGTCAGTAGGTATGGCAGGTTGTGAATGCCATTGTTGTCGATTTTTCTTTTGTGTGCATTAAATTTCAATTTCACGATTCAGACACACTAACCCAGCGTAAGTAGCAAATTGTTGCTGTTGTTGTTGGTACTGTTGCTGTATTGTTGTTACTGAGCGTATTTTTCTATCGAGATGAAATTGATTAAACGGTTGTAAACCAATCCGATCGATGTTAACATGTTAATCTGTGGATCGATTATGGTAAACCATCCCATCCAAACTGGATGAGTCAATGTCAGTGATGTGAAGGAGAGTGTTTTAAAAGAGGAAAAAGTATTTAAAATTCCGCTCAACATTGCAAAACGTGCAACTGGCCAAAAGGACGGATTACATAACAGTAACAACAACGAGCTGATCAAAATTCATTCTACGTCTGGCAGATCAGATGGGTGGATGGATTGGATTGAAAGGGACGGGAGCCGCAGTAAAGACCTAAAAGACATCACCACTCACTGCTCCATCCGTCTGCAGTCAAGCACTGGATCACGTTCCTGAGATAATTCACTCATGATTACACGCGAAAAACTTTCTCCCTCCGAGAGCTCTCGGAGGTGGCCGAAAGTGATTACGATATGGCACTGGGCTTGGTCCATATAAGGGCAACTCAGGGGACGACAGCTGTGCACTTACCTACGACAGTAAGAAACCATAATGTCATCCAGTGATTGATAGAGTGTGTGCGAGCATAGAGGCCCACCTGGAGATAAGTTGCAAGTGAGCGCTTGTTAAGAGGTTCACGATGTGATTTACTTGATGTCTACGAAATGTAATTATGTAAATGTATACATTTGGATCGTGAGATTTTTTTTAGCTTTAATAAATATGTTTAATGTGGCTGCACACGGTTGATTATAATCTTAAAGAAATAACCAATATAAAAAATTCGCTATTTTTTCCTCATAGATTATTGATTATCTCGCCAGTTTTAAAAGTTTGACAGATTACTTGTTAACTGTGATGGTGTGTATATAAGCAAATTGATATTTTCCCGTTATCATACGCTCTCAATATCACGCGTGTTATTGGAGCAAAATATCATCAGCATGCTTTGATATTGCGACACTATTCACAACGTTGTGACACAACGTGTAAAGTTGAAGCTGACCGTTGATTCAGCGGAAAAATTATTCCGCTGCACCTCGTTATCTTAGAAAGAGAAGGTATAATAATGCCATCTCGTTTTTGTCTTTACCGATGGCAGACATGAAGCGACTACTGTGGGCCGTTATGGAAGTTTCGGTTGCGTTCGGGTGTAAAGCAAAAATCATGAAACTCAATCTCACTACATTTTGGAGCTGGTGAGTTTTGTTTGCTTGATCATTCGAGCTGCGATATCACAGCTTGCTGTATCAACTGCAGTTGTTTGCTTTTTGATTTTTGTCTAAGAAAATGACGCGTGATCTTGTTCTCTGGTGAGATTTGAATTTTTGGTATTCAACACTGCTTGTTAAATTTGCAAGGATGGCGTTTCAATATAGTATTCTTCAAATTCTGAGCAGTAGTATCATGCTCATGAATATTCTCCTAGGTTTTTCCGCACGTTGTCGTGCACACTGGAAAAGAATGTCACTTTTGGTGACCAAAAAAATCGTAGCGCTGTACCCATGGACAGGCATGGAAAATCATTTACATTCATTTCATACATTCATTTACATTTATTTGCCTCTAACTTTTTTCATCAACAGCATTCCGCTTTTGTAGGTTTTGTTATTAGCTACAACTTTTTCTCATAACTCAAATCTGTATCTCTTATGCATCACGAACTAGAGCGGCCAGAACTTGTTACTGTTTTTCAGTGAATGTAAAATACATTCACTGAAAAACAGTAGTGGCTTCTGTTCGCTCTGGTTCGTCATGCATCAGAGACACGGATTTGACTTGTCAACAAAAGTTGTAGCTGATAACAAAACCTACTAAAGCTCTATACATTATTTTGCAGAATGCTGTTGATGAAAAAATTTGGCGGCAAATGAATGTAATTGAATGCACGAAATGAATGCAAATGATTTTCCATGCCTGCCCATGGATGCTGGAGGTTTGGTGCCCTCAACAAAGTAGGAAGGTGGAAATTGGTGCCAACCACGCAAAAATTTTAAATGATGTGAAAAAAATGTGAGCTACATTGTTCGAATGGGGTGGACAGATTTCGTTTCCTGGGAATCCGGGTTTCAGTCGCGCCAAGGGTTCCAAACGCTAGCCATTAGTTGGAATTTAAAACTCTCAATCGAAGCGCATCTAGAACACTAAATTGAGTTATTTTGAGGAGAATTCCATTGGGATTTTAAGGTGAAGCCCATGAGTACAGTGCTTTCCCGATTTTGTCTACCCCTGATTTTGTCAGCTATTTTTCCCGATTTTGTCAGCCTGAAGATTTGCTGAACTTTTTGGGTTTAAAACATGAATTCTCAAGCATTTTGCTCCAAATGACACTTAATTGTTTTGTCGCAACAATAACAGAGGTAACTCAAATAAACCTCAATTATTACGACACTGCACGGCTGTATCGAGTCCCTTCCGATAAAGGTAGCAAGGTGGCGGATAGTGCTGGAATGACTGCAATACAAGTTATGGGCAGATACCCCATTCAAGAAGAAGGTTTCGTGATCGCCAAAATAACCGGTATATTCATATGCAGTTGCTACGCACCCGATGGACGATGAAGCAGTTCCACGAGACGCTGGTTGGACTTACCGAAGAGCTGATCGGACGAAGACCGGTAGTCATCGGAGGTGACTTCAATGCTTAGGCAGTGGAGTGGGGAAACAGATTTACCAACGCAAGAGGCACATTCTGCTGGAAGCTCTGGCGAAGCTGGCTGTTCAATAAAGGCACCACCAGCACTTTTCGCAGAGATCGCCGGGAATCCATTATCGACGTCACTTTATGGAACTTGTGGAATATATGAATTGGAGACTGTGTGAAAGATATACCCATAGTGAACATCAGGCAATCCGATATGGCATCGGCCAACGGAATCCTGTGGCAGTACAGAGGACGAGAACTTGCAACTTGAAGTGGAAGACGAGTTGTCAGAATCGTTAGGGAGAGCATGTGACACGACCATGCCGAGGAAACTGGAGCTAAATAACAGACGGCCTCTAGCTTACTGCTGCAACTAGGCAATTAGCACCCTCCGCGCTAGTTGTCTCAGAGCCAGAAGACGTGTTCAGAAAGCAAGAACAGAAGCAGACAGAGAGGGACGTAGATAAATGTTCCCAGCTAATAAACGAGAGATAAAGCAGAGCAAGTCAAACTGTCAACTGGAGCTGGGTCGAGACGCTGCTGCCAAAGACCGCACACCGTGTCGTAATGACGAAGATCAGATGTCAAGTCATGCCCGCTGATATGTGCTTAGGGAACCTGAAAGTCATCGTGAAAGGACTTTTTTCGAAGCACGATCCAACCTACCGTATGCGTGATAATGTTTGCACCATTGAGGAACGACAAAATTTAAAAAAAAATCTCAAAAAGTAGATGTTTCTCAGTGTCTTAAACTATGTTACATATCGATCGAGTTTCCACTTGCTGCAATTACGGCCTCCACACGCTTTCGGAATGCACGACAGGTTCTAAAGGGTGATACGGTCAAAATTTGGTCAATATCAACTTGACGTATTTCTTTCAATTTTGCATTTAAAAGACCTGAACACCCCTCATTTTGAAGGTGTGTGTGTGTAGAATGTTGCTCCTATTTTGATTTTGGAATTCACTCTTCAGTTGTCAAAATGCCGTCCAAGCAAGAAGAGCAGCGTATCAAAATTTTGCTCGCGCATCGCGAAAATCCGAGCTACTCGCACGCAAAGTTGGCAAAATCGCTAAAAGTTGCCAAATCAACCGTTACAAATGTAATTAAAGTGTTTGGCGAACGTTTGTCGACAGCCAGGAAGTCTGGATCGGGGGGAAATCGAAAACCGGAAGCCGCTGAGACGACAAAGAGAGTTGCCGGTAGTTTCAAGCGAAACCCTAACCTCTATCTCCGAGATGCCGCAAATAAGCTGGGTGTATCGTCTACAACCATGCATCGAGCCAAAAAATGAGCCGGGCTATCGACTTACAAGAAGGTAGTGACTCCAAATCGCGATGATAAACAAAATACGACGGCCAAAGCGCGATCCCGGAGGCTGTACACGACGATGCTGACGAAGTTTGAGTGCGTGGTAATGGACGTCAAAGCCGACTACAAGCAGCTTCCGGGACAGGAGTTTTATACGGCAAAAGGAAGGAGAAAGGTAGCAGATGTTTTCAAGCACATGAAACTGTCAAAGTTCGCAAAGAAATATCTGGTTTGGCACGCCATCTGTACCTGTGGCTTGAAAAGCAGCATTTTCATAGCTTCCGGGACTGTCAACCAAGAAATTTACGTGAAAGAGTGTTTGAATAAACGTCTGCTGCCTTTCCTGAAGAAACACGGTTGTTCCGTACTGTTTTGGCCGGATTTGGCATCTTGCCATTACGGTAAAAAGGTCATGGAGTGGTACGCCGCCAACAACGTGCAGGTGGTTCCCAAGGACAAGAACCCTCCCAACACGCCAGAGCTCCGCCCAATTGAGAAATACTGGGCTATTGTCAAGCGGAACCTAAAGAAGACCAAAAAAACTGCTAAGGGCGAGCAGCAGTTCAAGGCAAACTGGCTTTCTGCGGCGAAGAAGGTGGACAAGGTGGCTGTACAAAATCTGATGGCAGGGGTCAAGCGTAAGGCCCGGCAATTCGGATTTGGAAAAGCGGAAGCCTAACTGAATATTTT